ATTATAACTAATTTAAACTTAGTTATTTTTTCTAAGATTAAAAATTTAGTCACTTAATTATCACTTAAATTATTACTGTTGGTAACTCATTTTTTTGTTGTTGAATATTAAAAAATTAAGGGAAGAGAAATTACATCATAAAAATTTAAACCATGGTTATATTCATAATTTAAGATGTATCCTACCATTACAACCACTGCTGCAGGTGTGTTGGTAGCTCATTGTTAACTTAAGGTTAGTTAACAATTTTCATTAATTTTAACTAATGGAAAAAAAGAGATTACATGCCGCCTACATGGATTATAATTTTACAAATTCAAGTTCCCCTGAAAAAGGAAATGATTAAGAAAAAAATTTTATATAATTTTTTAGTATAATTATATACTTTATTTAATAATAATTTCTTTTTATTTTTTAGAGATATTTAACTATTAAGAGGTAGATTTTTTATTTTTGAATTTTTAAATTTGAATCTTAAAATTAAAATGAATGGATTAGAAATTTGAGTAAAAAAGGACTACCTTAATTAGGCATATAAAAAAAAAAGATCACAAAAAATCAAGATGCCTTGATGTCCTGTTACAACTATTGGTTTCGTGAATCCCAACCAGGGATTTACTTATTTAACGATTGTATTGAACATTCTAGTACCAAAACATCTGGATTTATATATATATATATATATTTAAAATAACTCTCTTCACTTTATTAAATTTATAATATTATTTATATTTATTTAAATACTAATATATAAAATTTATTAAAAAAAGTTTTACCCATCAACTTATAAGTTAAATTCAAATTTTACTAATTAACTTTAACATTTAAAAAAATTAATTTTTTAAATATACAATACAAATAAATATAAGTAAATTATCGAATGAGATAACTTTCCACTAATACTAAGAGTCACCTTTATCTAATATTCTATTTTTCACAGCCTCATACAGTGCACTTGCTAGTTTGTTGTCACTAGTTAACCACTTAATACCGTCATTTCCACGTCGACGTTAATTCCTCCAAAAACGAACGAACGTGACACGTCATCTCCGATTCGTCTTCAATATATAAACTCACCCTCTCCATCACTTTTCACGCCTCGCAGTAACAGCCTCTCTTCTCTCTCTTCTCAACACAAGACCCGTGCAAAGAGTCTCCTACATTTCTGGATACTTCGCTGAAACCGAAAGCAGAGGGAGAGAGAAAGAGAACCAGCACCGTCGCGGAGGAAGATGAAGGGAGTTCTCATGGCGAGAAGGGTGCTGTCGTCGGGAATTGAATCCCTGCGGTGCTGGCGACGGTGTCTGTCTCAGGTGGCGCAGAAGCAGGCCGAGACCGACGTCGGTGTTCCGAAAATGCCGCCATTCGATTACTCTCCTCCACCGTACACCGGTCCCTCCGCCGACGAGATCTTCGCCAAGCGGAAGCAGTATCTCAGCCCCGCCTTGTTCCACTTCTACAGCAAACCAGTGAGTCCGCCGTACTCATCGAAACGTTTCTCCGATCACATTAATTTTCAGAATATTTTATCATTAATCAGAATCATATCACTTTTTTCATAATATTTATTTAATCAATCATGTTTTATTTAATTATTTATTTATGACAATCAGGCATGTTTTATTAATTATATATTTAAATTCTTAAAATATAAAAAAATAAAAATCTTTTTAATGGGATCTGATCTTGTACTTCTCAGATCCATGAGCAGTGAGAAATATCCTCCGTCAAAACAGAGGAATTTGTCTTGATTCGAATTGTAGATTTCAAAGTGGGTCCTACAGTAGTCGCTATTGGATTTTTTTTTTTAATTTTATTTGGTATATCGGATTTTTTTTTAAATTAAAAATTTTAAATTAGGACTACCAACTCGGTTATGAATGTGATGATTATCTTTTTTTTTTTTAATGATTTTTATTTTGAATTACTAAATAATCTGTGTTAATTTTGCAGCTGAACGTGGTAGCTGGGAAGAGGCAGTACTTGTTTGATGAGAACGGCAGGCGATACCTGGACGGATTTGGAGGGATTGCGGTGGTAAGCTGCGGCCATGCCCACCCAGATATTGTTCAGGCAATTGTTGATCAGGTGAATCGTGTGCAGCATTCGACCGTCCTTTATCTCAATCATGCCATCGCTGATTTCGCCGAGGCCCTTGCCGCCAAAATGCCCGGAAATCTCAAGGTGATTACTGATTAGTGATTACCCAATGAATGATCGGAGGGTCCTCTCTACAATTGTTTTGATGGTACTGTGAGTATTGAATTGGTTTTGTTTTTCTGTTTTTTGGTAGGTTGTGTTCTTTACAAATTCAGGGACGGAAGCGAATGAGTTGGCGATGATGATGACCAGATTATACTCTGGAAGCAATGACATAATATCGTTGCGGAATGGGTATCATGGGAATGGATCGGCAACGATGGGCGCCACTGCTATGTGCACTTGGAAATACAACGTGGCACAGGTACCTTCCCTTTGCTTCTTGGTTCGTGTTTTGGACAGAGAAAACCATCACTTGAATGCTTCTATGCTTTGTAAATCATACATCAATAGAATATTTTTCTTCCAAAAAGTTTTGACGGTTGTATACATCATTTGAAGTTTACCTCCAAAGTTTTTAGTTGAAAAGCAAGTTCCGAATTTGCAGTTTTATATAGAGTGCAAACTCAATCACCAAACTTGTAAATTGCTTTGCACCAAAAGTAGTGTGTGTGTGGTGGTGGTGGTGGTGGGGACCGGGACTGGGTCCTATCTTGTTAGGTGAGATTTTATTTTCAAGCCATCTATTGGTATCCATTGCACCATACGATTTAAAATCCACCACGGTATCACGTAAATTGTATGTCAGAAAATGACAGAAGACATCTAAAACAACTTCAGTATTGCTCATATGTGATTATATCTATTTGACGATTTATTGTTATAAAGATAGGATACTGATATAATCCATACTATTATTTCTGTTTTCATTACTCTGATAAAGATGACCCTGCTGGCCAAAAAAATTTTAAAAAAAATCAAGATGACTTTATTAAAGAGCCTATTTGAACAATTGAAGTGGGACTCCTTTATTGATTACTCCTCCAATATTTCATTATTTTGCATTCCTTCCACTCATAATAAAAATAAGCGAATAGCTGACAACCTAGTGGTCCTAAACTGAATTTTGTGATGCATATAGCATCTTCCTTTCCTTCGACAATGAAAACATAAATAAGTACTCAGAATCATTGTTTAAATCTTTCAGGGTCACGTATAGCAAATGTTCTTTTTCTTTTTAGTATATTAATGTTCTTCTTCTTTAATTGGCTTGACAACAGAGTGGAATTCAGCATGCCTTGAATCCAGATCCATATAGGGGTGACTTTGGTTCAGAGGGGAAGAGGTATTCAAAAGATGTAGAAGAAATTATCCAGTATGGAACTTCTGGCCGTATTGCTGGTTTCTTTGCTGAAGCCATACAGGTAATCATCATCTATCTGCAATTTCCCTTTATTAATGTTATAGTTTAGCATGTCCTTGTTAAGACGCCATCTTTTCAATTTCTTTCAATGTTATTGATCACAGGGAGTGGGTGGAATTGTAGAGTTGGCCCCAGGGTACTTGCCAGCTGCATATGACATTGTAAGGAAAGCAGGAGGTCTTTGCGTTGCAGATGAGATTCAGTCTGGCTATGCTCGCACTGGAAGTCATTTCTGGGGATTTGAGTCCCATGGTGTTATTCCTGATATTGTGACCATGGCAAAGGTTTCTTTCCTGTCTTTCTGATTATGTAAAAGTGCTATAATCTACACTTTCTATGCAATTATAGACATGATATAATCTTTGTCAAGTAGCTATGAGGTCTTTTAAGTTCTATGAATTTATTGCCTGACCTGACTTGGATATTATATAGCCTATGGGTGTTATACTTTGTGTTGTCTAGTTTTGTCTTTTAACCAACATTATCTAGTTTGGTTAGTTACTCATGGAAATGTAGTCCATCTCTGTACGTTGAATTGCTTTCTTCTGTGTCATGGATCAGGGCATTGGAAATGGGATTCCTCTTGGTGCTGTGGTAACCACTCCTGAGATTGCAGAGGTCTTGGTTGGCCGAGCTTACTACAACACATTTGGTGGGAATCCTCTATGTACTGCTGCTGGTTTGGCTGTTCTGAAAGTAATTGAGAAGGAAAAGCTTCAGGAGAATGCTTTTGTTGTGGGATCCTACATGAAAGAGAGACTCAATGCACTCAAGGAAAAATATGAACGTAATCTTCTTTCCATATCCATTTTATTGCGCATCATACATTCTCTTCTTGCATCAAAGCCTAAATGAGTGTAGTTTTGTGAACTGGCATAACCATTTTCTGATTGTATTGTATACTGATCTTTGCAGTTATTGGGGATGTAAGGGGAAGAGGTTTGATGCTTGGAGTTGAGCTTGTCACTGATCGCAGACTGAAGACTCCTGCACGGGAACAAACCGTTCATATAATGGACCAGATGAAAGGTTAGGTGTTCCCATTTTCCATTTCCCATGATGATCAGGTATGCTTTGACATTTTTTTACTAACAAACCATCATTATATCTCAGAACTTGGGGTGCTGATTGGAAAAGGTGGATATTTTGGAAATGTTTTCAGAATTACACCCCCTCTCTGCTTCACCAAGGAAGATGCAGGTTTGTTTTGCCTCTTATGTTTCAAAAGTATCACGGGAACTACCTTTTTTGTCTCCCCATAACCTTGGGCCGGAACTTAACAATCCTAATTGAATTTTTACAGATTTCCTAGTGGATGCCATGGACCATGCCATGTCAAAGATGTAAAGCTAATATTGTACAAAGCTATCTGTCTAGTTCATTACTCGGAGGTTTATCTTGTGTCATTGATGTCTTATTCAGTCCTGTTATGAGTGAAAACCACTAAATTCTGATGGTTCCTCCTCTTGAAAACATCTCATATACATTTCCTGTTCTAAAAGCGATGAGTCAACAGCGTGTTGCCTCTCGCATAACCACTGTGTCCATTGTGCTTTAATAAGATGCATTAATAAGTTCTGGCCTACTTTTTGATCTAGCGTGGTAATTTTGTTTCAATTGAAGCTACAAGTGCACAATTTGTTGCATTGGTTGCACACTTTCGCGCATGGTCTTTGTGTTGAGTCGGTTCTCAAAACTCGTAGCAGTCAGTTATGATAGTAATTTCACGTAATCTTGCGTATAGAATAAAAGGAAATGGCATTGCGGAACAGTTTGACATAATAAATGTTCAGTGATTTTAACTAGTATTTTTTTTAGATTAAAACAAAATTTCTATTAGGAACCAATTCATTTTGTAAATATTTCACCTTTGTCATCGTTCATCTCTCCACTTTTCCACCATCTAATAGTGATTAATTCCCACTTCTTCTAAGAAATAACACTGGTGAAATTACCTTTGTCTCCTATTGTATCTCTCTAATTTATACTTCTTTAACTTGTTTTTCTTCGTTTTACAACAATTTCAAGTTGTTTGCTCCGATCTATCAATAATAATAGAAGATGGAGCAAATATACGTAAGGTGTGCAATGGAACTATATAATCCAAGCTAACCTATAGGACAAATTTGCGTTCATGACAAATAAAACACTTACTCCCTGTTTAGTTTGAAAGACAAAGAGGGGAGGGATTCTTTTATTTTCCTCACTTCTTCTTATTTGATTAGACTAAAATACAAAAAAAAAATTAAAATTAAAATAAAGTAGGAAAAACCCTCTCTTCTCCGCTTTTATCTTTATTTTATTGAAATAGGGAAATTTTCTCCCTCAACTTCCCCCCTCTTCAAGCTAAACAAGTTTTTAAGGTGAAGAAAACTGACTACAATTAGAGATTGGGAGACCAATTGCTATAGGAGACATTAACGAAACTGCTAGAATAGTAAAGTCACCTTTCTTAGCATCTCCAGCTTTTAGATCACCCATCTGTCATGCCAACTT